TGCGGGGAGGAAGGTCTCCTAGTGGCTGCTCATCTTTGGAGTCAGGGACCCCCCCCCCCGCCGTGCTTGCTGGGCTGTGTTACTGGTGCTGGGGAGAGGGGAGAGGGGGGTGATGGTTTCTAAGCTCAGGGCTGGCTGAGCACCGCGGATCCAGGAGAAGTTTGGAAGATCACCTGGGGCTGTCGCCACTCCCTGCCTTCCTCCCTTGGCATGGTCACCCAAGCAGAAAACAATGTGAGTCTCCAACCCAGGGGGAGGGGGTGATTAAGAATGCAACCCTGGGGTCCAAAAAAACAAGWGCAAAACGCTCTGTRCCTCAGTTTCCCCACCTGATAGACTGCCGAGGAGAATTACATGGGTTCATTCCTCTAAAGTCACTTTGAAAGGGTTGGGTGGGTAAAATGACTGTCTAAAAGCCAGCTGTCACTGCTGAGCGGGTTTATGTCTTGGGGTCTCCCTTTTCCCTATCAGAACATGGGGAGCCTCACAACATTCTTCTCTTATCTGCATCTTGGACTTGGGATAAAAAGTAGGTAACTGTTCCCATCAGGAGGGTGGGAAATAGAATACTAGGCACCTCTGGTTGCCTCTCGAATGTCCTGGGAACGTTGGTGCAGCTGGCCACCCACTGCAACTCAGGGCCAAGGGCAGGCAGGTGTTTGGGRACTGCTTCCTGAACCAGCCTGAGCCAGGGCATTGGGGGGCAGGCCCGCCTGGGTGCTCACAGCCTCTGTCTCCTTGCTGAAGACACAAAAGACTGATCTGCCTACCTGAGATGATGGTGGTCTCCAGGTCAGCAGAGGCTGTTAATTAAATATGTTAAAGTAATAGATAACTTTACTTACCCCAATATATCAAAACTATTGTCATTTCAACATGCTACCTGGGAAACAATTACTAGTGAACCATTTTTACATTTTTTTTTCCTCACTCAATCTTTACAACACAGGGTGGATTTTACCAGGGAAGTACATCTCAATTTGGACACCAAAGTCTTCATTAGCRATACTCCATCTGTATTTAGATGTTAACTTTTCTCCCACGTCATTAAGAACTGTTTATAGCCAGGCACGGAGGCACTCACCTGTAATCCCAGCAGCTCAGGAGGATCACAAGTTCAAGACCAGCCTCAGAAACTTAGCAAGGTCCTAAACAATCTGTCTCAAAATAAAAAAATAAATAAATAAATAACGTGGGCTGGGATGTGGCTCAGTGGTCAAGCACTTCTGGGCTCAATCACGGGTACTAAAATAAAGGAACTCTTTATAGTTTTCAGCAAATATTTTTAATGTGCTGTTTCTAACCAATCCCCCAGTCATTTTTAGACAATTTTCTTATCTCCAGGTCTGGGCTATTGTTTSGTGGCTTGTTTTGGATTTTGTTGTTTTACTATGAGAAACAACACGGCCGGAAGCTTTTGCCTCCAAAGCAAAGTGCTTCAGAGCTCTGTGCTCCCTCGTGCAGTGATTAAATGTCATCTCGTCTCACCCTCACCACAAGCCTGCAACCTGRGTACACCTCTGTGGGGGTGGGTACTCGAGATTAAACCCTGGGACCACGGAGCTCCATTCCCAGCCCTTTTTATTTTTGATTTTGAGACAAGGGTCTCACTAAGTTGCTGAGGCTGGCCTCAAACTTGCAATCCTCCTGCTTCAACCTCCCAAGTGGCTAGGATCACTGGGGTGCACCACCATGCCCGGCCTCCTGGGTACCTCTTATTGGCAGCTCACAGAGGGACAACCTGAGACTCAGAGGGTTTCAGTGATTTGCCTGAGTCATGCCAATTAGACGGGAAAAGGCATCTCAAACCACCAAATTCGAAGGTGTGGACTCTGGTCTCTATGGAAGGGTATTTGGGACATTTCTTTGGGAGACGTTTCAGAAATGGAAATACTAGACCCAAAGGGCCTGGTTTGCTGCAGCTCCTGTCGTTAAAGGCTGTTGACACATGGACTTGCAAACGCTCTCCGTGGATCTCCTCTTCTGGCAGGTGACACATGCCACACTTCCCACACTCGTTCTTTTTGTAGCTCCCACCTCCGTCTTTCTATAACCTCCACTCTCCCTGCCTCCTCCCCCTGCATCCCCTCGGCTACCATTTATTGTGCACCTACTTGTTTCCCAGGGCCTCTAGTGGTGCCACCCTCCTTTCTGGTACTCACCTTCCCCCCGGTGGCTGGTGGTCCCCGGCAGTGTTCCTGTGTGCCCCCAAGACACCTGAGGATCTGTCCCCGGAGTGTGCGCTGGCACTGGGAAGGCCAGGGGGGCCTGGGCTTTCTTCAGTGTCTACACCTCCTCTCTCCCCAAGTCCCTCACGGGAAATCCCAGGGGCCCGGGGGAAACAGGAGACCCCAGAGCCCCATCTCCTCCGTCTCTGGACCAGGAGGCTCTTGGGTGCTCTCACTCCTGCTGTGCCCAGTCCCTTGAGCTGCCCCTTCCCTCACCCAGGGTCCCGTCCAGCTCAGGGGCTTCCGCTGGGGACTGGCTTGAAGGGCTGCTCCTTCCTGGGCTGGGGGGCTCCCAGCTCCTTTCTCCTCCCCCACCCTTTCCTCTTCTTGGTCTGTCACTTTCTAAAACACAGGGCACAGCTCAGGATGATTTCTAGGGACACACCAGAAACTTTTAGGCGGTGAATGAACTTAGCATTAAGTAACAGTGCGTCGTGTGGTAAAGAGAATTCAGTGATCATCCTCGGTTCCTTCTGATTCTGTCAAAGAACTGGTCTATTTGCGGATGACGGTGTTCCACGCCACTTCTAACACGGTTTCAGTTGTGCTCTGTTTATTTTAACGCCATCTATTTTAAGCAAACCCTCTAAAACACATCTTTACGTCTGGGTAGTATTTTTGCATGTCAGCCCGTGTAACTGATTCTGCATACACGAAGCCATAGCACAGGCGATTCTTCAAAGCACGGCCTTTAAAAAACTGCTTCTCTTCATCACTCTCCTCTCTGTGTCTTGCTTCCCCCCCCCGGACCCAACGTGAAAATCCCTCCAGGGGATCTGGGTCTGCGTCTTCCTTTATAAGAGCTGACGAGGCCCCACGCTGGAACTGGAACCGCAGGTTCCCCCCCCAGACGGATCTTCACTCCACCAATTTTTTGTCTTTCAAAAACCTCATAATGAACATTTTTTATGTCCAGGTATCTTAAGGCAGTAAAGCAAATCCACAGGTTTCTTTTCAAATACATTTAATGCATTAAAAAAAAATAGAACTAACTTGAGGTTAGTTAACTTCAGGGCCAGGCAAGACAGGTAACGGGGMCCAGAAGCGCTCACCTCGCCATGCTCCTGTGTGCAGAGGCCAGGAAGGAAGGGCAGCTCAAGGTTGCTTTTGCTTGCTGTTTCAATAGCACCGGAGAACACCAAAGCCAGGCTCATGCCTTGGGAACAGGGACCGTAAAATACCTGTGACACAAAAACCAAAATGCCTGAGTAAAAACCATGTCACTCAACTGCCTTGGAGACAGCTGTCCTCGAAACTGGCAGCTGCCTGCTCTCTCTTCCCTTCGGTCAGTCAGTCAACAAACAGCACACACTAGGGCACAGGGCTGACCCAGCCTTGGGCCCTGCCCACCTGGATTTTCTGGTSTGGAAGAACCCTTTTGTGACTTAACTTATGAGAGAATGATCCTCCACACCCAGAGAGAAAAGCAGAACTGAGTTAGAGTTCCAATACACACAAGGTCATACAGCCATATCCTCTACTCACACACAGTCCCTCCTGCTCACCCACGTGGGTGTGCACACACATACGCACACTGTAGCCAGCGCCACAATCTCCTGTCCCCCTCTTCCTGCACATATACAAATAATTGAAAGCTACACGGGAGCACTGGGRTTGTTGCTGTGGGAACCAGAATTCTGAAATCCCAACTTGTGGGCATCTAAATTATTGCTCTGAATATTACATTCGCTGCAGAGTTGTGCTCTGAATTCTGAGCCATTTCCCCTTCAGGGTTCAGGCTGGGCAGCCAACCAGGGAGCTAGCAAGGAAGGGCAATTAAAGCCTGATTACTTCCTGTCGGGGTGATGGAGTGGCCCCGACAGCGCTCACAGGAGGACTGTATCTGCTGGATGTGTGTGTGAGCGCGTGTGCATGCTCATGCTGATGGGGCGTGGGTCCACGGGATGTTCTAGGTGAGGCCCTGAGAATGTGCAGTAGCATGCCCAAACCTTCTGCTTCTGCTTCTGGCCAGGCCCAGATGCCCAAGACTGTGGTAACAACTACAGCCCCAGATCTTCATGGCTTAGCACAAAAGAGCTCTGTTCCTTCTCATACGAAACCTAGCCTGGGTCAACMTCCCCTCCACCTCCTAGTGCATCTGGAACCCAGGGCATCTAATATCCCACAGGATGAAGGAGGCTCGCCTCCTCTGCCCTGCATTGGCCCGGAAGTGGACACATGTCATTCTGCCCAGATCATAATGGCCCAAACTTAAGTGTGTGAGAAACAGGGAATGCCCAGGGGCTCACCTGTGAGCATGTGGGCCCCTGCCACAGCTCTCCCCTCAGGCTTGCAAACTAGAACATTCTGGGCCAGAGTGGGATGAACTCCTTGGGGACAGTTCAAATGCTGGTTCTGTTGCTTGCTACTTTGGTGGCCTCAGGTCATGCACGTATCAGTCRGGGTCCCAGCAAGAAGCAGGTAGCGCACTCAAAATACAGGAGTTTGGAGGGAAAAGGAAAAGGAGCACTTACGAAAGGTCCTGTGGTAGCCAGCAGCTAGGATCAACTGAGGTCTTATTTCCCAGGGCCCAAGAAGATAAGACCAGAATGGTTAGGAGACCCAGGAGATGGCAGAGGAGAGGTAACCACCTTGAGAGGAGTCGTGACCTTCAGATAAGGGACAGCCTGCTCAAGGGACCAGAGTCAGGGGAATAGAAGCCACAACTTCACTCRCCTCCTTCCTCCCTACTTTGTTGGGGCTCCCCATTGGTTGAACCCAACAGGAGCCAAAAGGCCCAGGAAGATGCTGAGGTCAGCCTCCTGGGGCAGAATGGATTGTGGCTCTGGAGGTAGGAGAGGACTCTATCTGGCCTCTATCATTTGGGCCTCCCTTTCTGAATCTGTAAAATGGGACTGCTATTACCTCCCTTGCTTCTTTGTCAAAAGTAAATGGAGACTGTAAGTGAAGACCTCACGTAGGAAAGACCCTTYGCCAGGTCAGTTTCTCAGCATCTAAAAGCACCCTGGGGTCTGTGGTTCCCAGGCCAGCATGTGCCAATTTGCCTAAAGTCTGGTATGAAATTCTCAAATTCTCCAAACAAGAATGTTTTTCCTAAATCACTCCCATTTCYCAGCTTCTGCCGTAGGCCAAGTATTTTACAGATTGTCTCACTGTAGCCTCATGATATTTTCCTAAGTGTCACWGTCAACAAACCAGGACTGGCAGAGATAGGTGAAACCACCCATCCACAGTCACACAGCCAGCAGATGGGTCTGGCCTCAAAGGCCCACACCGTTCCTCCCTGCTCTACTCCCCGTCCCTCGCCCCCCACATCTTTTAGTTGGTGCCAAGGACCACGTTCAGTCCAGAGACCTCATATAGATAGGCTCCAGAAAGTGCCACCCCCACCCCTACCCGCCATCAGGTATCTCTGCCCCCTGCCTGAGCTCACGCACCCACCACGGCTGCTGCTGGTTCTTTGCAGGTCTCCCGTCTCCAGGCCCTGCAGGCCAGCTCAATGTCAGCAGTGCAGAAAGCAAGACTTTGGAGGCAGGTGAGCAAACATTCTTGGGGGGAGGTGGGGGGAGTCCGTGGTCAACTTGTTGAGACCAAACAGGTGGACGCTTGGGGTAGTGAAAAAGGCAAGCAGACTTTTAGGTGAAGATCCCTGACTTCCAACAACACCACTCCAAGGGCTGGAGTCCACCATTAGACTCACTGTGAGATCTAAGGTCTTCCGTGTTTGCACAGTCACCAATAAGTGGCAGGCACGGGCAAGGCATGCTTTTAGCACCTTGAGGGGATTTTTTTTGTTTCCAAAATAAGCTAAATCACTCGTGGTTGGGGTGCTGGGGTGCTCCCAGATTAGCCTTGCATTTACTTAGCACATGTTTATTAAGGGCACACTGTGTGTGGAGCACACTGGGGTACAATCCTGGGCAAAAATGGGCCGGTGGTTCCCAAAGGAAGGGCTTTGGAGTGGGAGGACCRACTTTGGCTGCAGCAGTTTATCTTCCATGTGTGACCAACCCCRTGTGGGTCCTGAGGCCAACTTCAAGACAGTACCTTCAGAGTAGCTGAGGGGTCCCCTGGGAGGGGACACAAGGCCCCCACTGGGCCAGGGCCCCTRAACTTGAAGTTTGCCCTTCTTTGACAAAGGGTGTCCCCAGAGACAGTGGCAAAGGAGAAATGTTTGTAGGACTGGGCGTCTGGTTCTCTGTCACCTCAGGCCTAACCCTCCTAACCTCTAGAATCGCACTAGAGCCATCSTCCAGACTCTAAAGAGAACCAGAGAGAAGGTCAGGCTTGGAAGGGACTTGGGAGTGACCTAGCCTGGCCCCATTTTGCAGACTGGGAGGCTGAAGCCAAGAGCCCTGRAGGAGGGGTGTTGGCCAAGGTCACTCTGGGTTAGTGTCACTGCAGCTGAATTGAAAGAGGTCCCGTCTTGCATCTGACACTTCCAGGGGAGCCGCTGGGGGTYCGCCTGGTGAACGGGAGCAGCCGCTGCAACGGGACAGTGGAGGTCCTGCTGGCGAAGTCCTGGCAGCCCGTGTGCGGGGAGCTGTGGGACAGCAGCGCCTCCGAAGCTGTGTGTCGCGCCCTGGGCTGCGGCACGGCGGGGACAGCTGCCCCGCGGGTCCTTCCGACTATGGAGGTGTCTCCTGGGTCACCCACGGGGAACACCAGCCGGGCCCCGAACGTCACGCACGCCCTAGCGCCAGCAGTCCTGTGCAGCGGCGCTGAGTGGCGGTTCTGCCAGGTTGTGGAGCGGCCGTGCAGCGGCGACGGGTGGCTGGCCCAGCTCACCTGTGCAGGTGCGTGTGCCCACCCATACCCTCGGTCCCCACTCCTCGAGTTCTCAGTCACCACCCATCGCTCCAAACACTGGACCCAGGCCTTGCTCTGGAACTCCGTGGGGAGAACCGCAGGGAGCCAAATCYGAGCAAACCCCTCCCTTGCTAGTCCTCGAAGTCACCAACTGGTCCCCCTGGGGTTCCAAATCCTCATCTGGTCTGTTGCTTTCCTTACTGGGCCACCTCACACCCCTTCTTTCTGTAGACAGGATCCCTTAGCGCTGCGGCTCCCCTGCCCCAGATCCCTGGCCCAGACCCCTGGCCTGCAGCTCACCCAGAGGGGATTCCCAGTCCTGCCCTCCAGGTTGCAGGCCCTCTCCCCAGGCCCACGCCCCGCCCACACCCTCCGGCCCCTCCCTTCCTGACCCCGCCCCCTCCACCCAAACCCTCCCACCCTCAGAGACCCGCGATTTGCGGTTGGTGGATGGAGGTAGCCCCTGCGCTGGCCGCGTGGAGATGCTGGAGCACGGCAAATGGGGGACAGTGTGCGACGACACATGGGACCTGGATGATGCCCAAGTGGTGTGCCAGCAACTTAAATGCGGCCGGGCAATCCAGGCCCTGCCAGGATTGCACTTCACCCCCGGCAAAGGGCCCATCCACCGAGACCAGGTGAACTGCTCAGGAACTGAGGCCTACCTGTGGGACTGCCCCGGGCTGCCAGGAGACCAGTACTGTGGCCACAAGGAAGACGCCGGCGCCGTGTGCTCAGGTCAGTGGGTCCTCAGTGGGCACATCACAGAAGGGAGTTAGTTACCATTACACCTAGGCCCAGTGCCCAGGTTAGTGCCAGAGAGCTGGGCCCTGCTCACAGTCCAGGAGGAGAGATGGGACCCAAACAATGCCAGGAGGAGGTGACATTAGGGGTGGGACTCACCCCCGGTGAGAGTCGGTCATCTGGTTTGGAGCAGGAAGGGGGACTGCAGGCAGGGAGTCCTCTGAAGAGCTATTGGGCCATCCAGGTGAGACTCCAGGTTCTGGTCCGGCCAGTGCTGCTTATTCACATGCACGAGAATGGGGGACACACTTTGGGCAGCCAGGATCTAAAGTGCAGCATCAGGGGTCAGCCGGAGGCGGGGCAGGTGAGAGGGGACCGTAGACACAGGAGGGAGAAGACCCAGATCTGGAGGCTGGAGGGCTGCGTTCTTCTCGGCATCTGGGACCTGGAGTTTCCACCTCGAGGATCTGGACCTGACTCTGCCCCCTGCCCCTGCCCCCATAGAGCACCAGTCCTGGCGCCTGACGGGGGGCATCGACCCCTGTGAAGGGCAGGTGGAGGTGTACTTCCGAGAGGTCTGGAGCACCGTGTGTGACAGTGAGTGGTACTCCTCCGAGGCCRAGGTGCTGTGCCGGGCCTTGGGCTGTGGAACCGCGGTGGAGCAACCCAGGGGACTGCCCCACTCCCTGWCAGGCAGGATGTACTACTCATGTGAAGGAAAGGAGGCCACCCTCTCTGACTGCTCCTGGCGGTTCAACAACTCCAACCTCTGCAGTCAGTCAATGGCAGCCAGGGTCCTCTGCTCAGGTATCCTCCCCCTGCGCACCCCATTCCACCACCAGGTGGGCTGGGAGTGYCACCTGAATCTCTGTACCTAAGGGCTTGCAGCCCAAGGGCCACAGCTTAGACTGGATCAGCAGGGACCATTCCCTTACCATGCGCAAGCAGACAYTGGTAGTTAATCAGGACTTTCTTTACTGCAGGTGCCCAGCTCAGTCTCAGAATCATGAATCAAATGCGTATGAAGGCATTATTGCATGCTAAGCCGTGGTCTCCACTGAAGGAAAGGAAACTTTCCAAGTTGGCTCGGGAAATGAAGCCAATTTGCCATCCCTGAGCTGGTGATCATGGGAAAAGTCACCTTAGGAGACACCAGTAATAATAGCTGCAAGAGCATCTGGGCATTGCCCAGCACTCAGGAGCTYATTTGGGTCTAGCCTCATACCCAATCTATGAGGTGATATTGATCATGAGTCACAGTATCATCATCTTACGTACCATAAAGTAAAACATTTGTTTTTTTTTATTTATGTGAAATCAACTGTTGACATGCTGTCAAAAGGTAATAAGGCCATCTTCCAATTTCAAAGGTATAAGTATGAAAAGTGAGATTGACACCTGAAGAAACAAGGTGTTGGTACCCTGTGGAGCTCAGACACTTGATCACGGTGTGATTCTGGCTCTGCCGTGTATCGGCCAGGAAGCTTTGAACAGTCCCTTAATCTCTGTGGCTTCAGTTTCCTGAATACRTGGGCTCTGCTAGGCCTTCCATGTGGCAGCTGGGAAATCAGTCATGTCCGTCAAGGGGCCTGGTAATCCCCGCTCCTATGTGGGCAGAGCTGCTCCATGGGAGTGCAGATTATGGTAATGAGGCTAACACACAAGCGTCCCATCCCCTGAAGCCCACAACTGACTAAAGACTGAATGGAAGAAGGATTTGTGGTCTGCAGCAGATTGTACATAAAGAAGGGATAATTCTTCCGTCAGCCCCTATTCTGACCAAAGCACCTTCCCAGGGTGTAATTCATGATCCTCCTATGGCTGGGGGTGGGGGGAGGCAAGTTTCCTTASCCATGTGTCCCCGATGGGAACACATCCTGTTCCAGGTCACTTGTCTGTMTAGTTCAGATTCTAACACAGGACCTGGCACACAGGAGGTGCTCAGGAAATGTGTTGAGTGAATGAATGAGTGGTGCTTTCTGGCAGGTTCTCGAAGATTGCAGAATATCTCTACTCCTGAAGTCCCTGCTAGTGTTCAGCCAGCCACCATGGGTGAGTGCTGCTTCTTTTGGAAGCTCAGTTGCCTCTGTGGTGTGTGAGCACGCGCGTGTGCGTGCATGAGCCTGGTAATCTGCATTACCATAATCTGCACTTTTTTTTGGTGGTTTGTCCCCCCACCCCCACAMAATGCATTTGCCTTTCTGGGCACTGTGCTCCCCTCCTTGACAACTAGCCCACAGTTCACAGGAGTCTCCTCCCTGACTGCTGTGACCTCCTGCTGGGCTGGAGACCCTGGGGTCCTGTAGTCCTGATGCCCTCCAGTGGGGGCACTCCTGGAGCAGACAGGTGGTAGGCTGCTGAAGGTACCAGCCAGGGTGTGGGTCAGGTTCCAGGCACTGCACCCAGTGCCCCGTCACCCTTATTTCCAGGCCTGTACTCCTCCTGGCAGCTCAATGGGAGCCGTCTCATAACCCTTGCACAGAGGAAGGAAGAAGCGAGGCTCAGAGGCTGAGTGACAGCCAGCGGTGTTGCCCGGGATTGGCACCCACTGCTTTAATGCCAGACCCAGGCTTGGTCTGTCTGCCAGCTGGGTGCAGCTTGGGGGGTATCAGAGCAGACTCCTGGGGTTCAAATCCCAGCTGTGCCTCTTGCTAGCTGTGTGACACTGAGCAATTCTTAACCTCTCTGCCTCAGATCCCTGAGTACAGGGGGTGATAATCACAGTTGGCCTCCCCTAATGCTGAGTTGATTTTTACCGAGCACTAGCACAGGGCCTGCACTGGGGGAGCACTGCCAGCCGTTCTTATGATTATCTAGTGCAGGCAGACAGCCCCTGGCAGCCCTGGGCTACCCCAGAGTACCTTCCCCTCCCGACTGGGTCCCCCTCGCCATCTCAGACATCCCAGACTCGGCTCATGGAGAGAGCAGAGGGGCAYAGTCCTGCTGGAGGCCCTGGTGGTGGGCGAGGGGCTCAGGAGGGAGTGAGATGCTGGGAACTGCACAGGCTGCAGGGGGGTACCTGCGGACCCCCAGCACTCCTGTTTCTTCCCGAGGTCAGGGTGGGGGGCCACGCCTCCCCTAAAGAGCAGAGAGAGCAGCCTCCCAGGTCCATGCCCCCAGGACAGCCCTGACCCTGATCCATCAGCTCATCTCCCTGAAGCCCCCCAGCCCAGCTTCCCACCCTGGCCCCCACTGCCACACAGCAGACCCACAGGGAAGGAGAAGTGAGGGCAGGTGAATCCCAGGCACAGAAGGGAGATCCAGCTTTCCTGGTGGCTTGGTCACGGCCAGGGGTGGCTCAGTCACCTCTCTGAGAAGTCAGCTTTGGTTGCCCCCACAAAGAATAAGGTGGTCCTGGTAGGGCCTCATGTCCCCAAGTTCTCTGTCCTTACCTCCATCACAGCACACRTCTCACTATGTGGGATTGGATCTCTGTTGATCTCCCTCTAGAGAGCCCTAAGGAGATCTAGACAGCATCCTGAGGCTTTTAACACTAGTGTCTTAACTGCCATCCCYGGATTCAGTGCCTGGTATGCAGTGGGTGCTCAATAATTAATTGTCTATTGAGCAAAGACTAAGGACCAAAGTCTCGCAGAGAGTGTCACCGGAGGAAAGTTTTGGGCAATAAATTCATTTCGTCAATTATTCATGAATATGCATGTATTGAGCAACTACTGTATACCAGGCACTTAAAGGGAGGAGAAAGTTAGGTGGAAAGGGAGGTGGCTCTGCTGTGGGGAAAACGGAGAGGCAGGCAGAAGGGTGGAGAGTCGCCTGGGCCGCTCCTTTCTCGCTCTGAATGGAGCCCTTATTTCTAGGGTCGTCTGTGACAGTGAAGGTGGAGGACTGGGGGTCCCGGGAGCTGACGCTCCTCATCCCCTGCRTCCTCCTGGCAGTTCTCCTCCTCGTCTCCCTTATCTGCATGGCTGTCGTCCTCTTGAGAGTTAAAGGGAAATACGGTAGGTGGCTCGCAGCAGGGCACAGCAGGCCTCAAGTGTGGCCCTCCCAGGGGCACAGGAGCCTCCGAGGGACCCCAGCAGGAGTGGCGTGATCCAGCAATGGCCACCCAGACCCGCCCCTGGGGAGCTCCTCCTGGTGATGGGAAGGATTTTCCCAGCATGCCTAGAGGAAGCGGCAGACCAGATGGGTGTGTGTGTGTGTGTGCGGGTGTGTGCGGGTGTGTGCGTGCCTGTGAACAGGTATGTGTGCGCCTCTGTACTGGGGTGTGCAGGGAGCATGAGGAGGAGGTGTCTCATTGAGACCAGAACCCGGAAGACAGAGAGGGCAAAAAATGACGTGTAGACTCTCTGCCCGCCCTCCCTCAGCCCTCCCTGCTCCAGCGAACCAGCAGCACCTTCCCACCACCATCCCAGCAGGGAGCAATAGCTACCAAGCGGTCCCCATCACCATCCCCAAAGAAGAAGGTAGGCTGTCACCCACCTGGTGGGGCGGGGGACAGGAAGGGTGTCGGTACCACCCAGGTCTAAGCAGGACCTGGCTGGGGGGAGACCTGCGCAGGTCAAGTCCCTCTGTGGCTTGGACTGAAATTCCAGTCCAGTCCTCCTGGGACTCCGGGCTTTCCAGTTCTGGATAAACGTGGGCCACRGACACTTGGGATCGTGGTTCTCAGAGGGAACCTCTGCTCTACTAATTGGCTCRTCCCTTTGTGATCCTGGCACGTCCTGCAGTATCCTGCCCCAGCAGCTGCCCTGCAGAGCCCCATCTAGATTCTCCAGGGACATGATTTTATTTCATATTTTCTGACTAAAGACGATCGGATCAGTTGTCTCAATCAATTGGATCAATTACCTCTTGAAAGGCTTGCCCAGGAGTTTGAGTTGAATCATTTGCATTCTGAGCAGATCCGATCACCTTAATTTGGGAAGCGTTCAATGCCATGGAAAGCAATAGAAAACTCAGCCACACATTAGGAAGATGATTTGCACGCAGTACCCATGTATTTGAGAGGAGGCTATAATAGAGCGTGGCACCCGCTGAGCCCAGGGAGCCTCACGGAATAGTACCACCTATAATTTAGAATCAGGTAGCCTGCTTCCCTGGGCAGGGGGAGAACCTCTCTGTGCCTCAGTTTCTTCAACTATAAAATGGGGTTGATAATATCCCTATTTTGCTGAGTTATTATGAAGGTTAAATGAGACCATATTTTGTACATGTTAAATATGTTAAAATAGCGCCTGGCACATGGTATTAGCTAAATTAATAAAAGCCGTTTCGTTCCCCATATTTGACATGGGGGAGGACCTTGGCAATCGGGGTGGAGGGTCCTGTACAAGATGGACCACCTGGCGCTCTTCCTGCCACCCATTCTCTGGGCACCCCCATGTCCTCCTGCCCACCGCATGGCCTGTCCTCCACCCCCGGCCCTGCTCTGTTCTCTCCCCAGTTCCCAAGCTGCCCATCCAAGTCCGGGTCCCGCCCCCCGAGGACTCCAGCTCGGACTCTGACTATGAGCACTATGACTTCAGCTCCCAGCCTCCCGTGGCCCTGACCACCTTCTACAGTGAGTGCAGGGCCACCTGGCCGCCTCAGGGAGAAGCCCCAGCTGATCTGGGACCTTCAACAGGCCTGGCTGGACAGCACGGCCCTCTTAATTCCCCCCCCCCCCCGCTGTGACTGTCAGTGGCCCTGCGCTCAGGTTTTCAATGCCTGWGACCCCGGAGGGACTTGACTCCCACCCCTGTCTCTGGCCACGCAGGGTCTCAACGCCACAACCAGGCCCTGGACATTCCCCTGAGGGGCCRTCTGTGTGAGGAGTGGGAGGTGCAGGCGGGGGACGCTGGGATGCCCCGCTGGCCTGCCTGGCCCCTCACCCTCTCTGTGACCCTCCAGGGTCCTGCCTGCTCCAGCTCCTCCCCTGCCTGCTGGGATTTAGAGGAAATGGCCCCCACAGCAGGCCCAAGGTGGTGCTGGGGGTGGGTGGACCAGAGGGCCCCCCAGGTCTTGAAGAGTCAGTGGAAGCCTGTTAGACGTTCCCAGCCAGACTCGCTTCTGCTGTTGAGTTGCGATGGGARTTTGTCTGTGTGCGACAGAGACCCCCGCAGGACAGGGCCCTGAGAAGTGGGCGGCTTTCTAGCTGCTCTGCAGTCCCTAAGACGTCACTCCTGTCCCCACTGTCCCCTGGGCCACGTTCCCATGGCAGCCTACAGGAAAAGCCAGGAGTCGCAGCCTCTGTGCCCAGGCTGAGACTGCGGGCTGCAAGACAGGCAGGCACTGGCCACCACCGGCAGCATGTGTCCAGACCCAGGCCAGAGGGAGAAGGGGAGCAGGCAGCCAGCCCCGCCCGCCTGCTGGCTTGGCCTCCCGGGAAGGGGTGGGAGGTGCCACGTCTGGGAGCCCCAGGAAGGAGTCCTCAGGACCCGGGACCCTGAGCCCAGGCACGGAGGACACACTCGGAGTCCCAAATCCTGTGACACTGGGACTAAAGTCAGTGGTGCTGGGTTCCAGGACTGGCTCCTGTCCTGGGTGCTTAAGACTGAACCTCCGTCCGTCCGTCCGTCTGTCTCACTGTGAAACAGAAGGTGCCCCAGGGCCTGTGACAGGATTCTAGCCCATGGCTTCTGCTGGGGACAGGTTCCTCCCAGGGCCCCATCAGTCCGTTTCTGGAGCCACCAGGTCCCAGGAGGAAACCCAGGCTCCACTTTTCCCGAAGTGGTGGGAGGCACAGGGCACTCGGGCCTCTGGCCAGAAGCCGCCTGTCTCGCACGTCAGCAGTCGGCCTGGACCAGGGCGGGGGCTGGAACCCTGCAGGAAAGGCTGACCCCCTCTCCCTGTGGTGTCCCCCCAGAGAACCGCAGCCTCCTCCCAGGCCCSGAGACAGGGAGGTGAGCCTTAGCCCTCCCCACTGCCACCTCTGCTTTTTGCAGATTCCCAGAGGCACCGGGTCACAGAGGAGGAGGCCCAGCAGAGCAGGTTCCAGATGCCCCCTTTAGAGGAAGGTGAGTCTGGGTGGGGGTCGTGGTGAGGTGGTGGGTGGGACGCCGACCTGGCCTCAGCCTCAGGAGCTCAGCTCAGCTTGAGACACACCGGCAGCAACCTCCCTCCATGGAGGGGCCCTGACTTTAACCATTCCTAAAGGCAGTAAGTTCTTTCTGGAGTCTCAYTTAAGGCCCTCTTAGTATGTTGCTTCCTCTTTCCTCATCATTCTCTCTCTACCGACTCAGGGGCTGAGGAGCTGCATATTTCCCACGTCGTCCCAGCAGCCATCCCTGCACACCACATTGCAGACCGTCCCTCTCTGGTCCCCCAGTTTCACCCAAGGATCAACAGTGGGTCCAGCACATCTTCTGGGGAGGATTACTGCAACAGCCCCAGCACCAAGCCACCTCCGTGGAACCCCCAGGGGTTTTCTTCAGAGAGGAGCCCCTTCCAGGAGCAGCCCCCCAACCTGGAGCTTGCTGGGTCCCAGGCAACTTTTGCAGGTAGCTGTGTGTCCCCTTGTCTTGCATCCTGTAGCCAGCCTGGCTAGAGGAAGCACAGAGTGGAAGCCCTAAGCCACACCAACTTCAGGATTCCAGTTCCAGATCAGCAGTGATTTGCTGTGTTACCTTGGACAAGTGTCCTCCCCACTCTGGGCCTTCATTTCCTCACTTGTCACACTGGGGTCTTGGTACTCCGGAGGGCCTTCCAGCTCCAGCAGTTCAGGAGCTGGCTGTGTCCTGGCAGAGGGTCATTGGTCCTGTGGGTCCCAGCAGGGCCCTCGGTTGATGACAGTTCCAGCACCTCATCTGGCGGAGAGTGGTACCAGAACTTCCAGCCGCCACTTCAGCTCCCCTCGGTGGAACAGCTCCCCTCGGTGGAACAGCTCGAGTGCCCAGGTGCTGGGCAGGGGGAGAGACCCTGGGAGAGGGGACGGAGAGAGAGACTGGGGAGTGAATGAGTTGGGCGGGGCGGGCTCTGGATTCACTGGATCCATCAGCCCAAGGGGGGAAGGGAGGAAGGCGGGAGAAGGAGAGGGAAGGGATGCGGGTCCCACGAGGGGTAGATCCGCAGTGAGTGAGAGGCTTGTGAGTGAGCTCCTTTTGGGGCCGGGATTCAGGCAGAAGCAGCAGGTCGGCCCCTGGGGGAAGCCTGCCTGGACTCCAGCCTCAATAGACAGCCAAGGCTCTGCCCTTGGCCGACACCCTGGCCCAGAGGTGCAGTGAGGACCCAGGTCCAGACCTGCTCACTCCGTCCTGTGGGGCAGCAGGGCAGTGACTGGGCCTCCTCCCTGTCCCCACAGGGACCCACAACCCCCATCGGGACTCCACCGACCAGGAAGACTATGATGACATCGGAGCTGCCTAGCCTGGGTCCAGCCCGGCTCCAGGGAGGGCCCCTCTCTGCCCTCCTGCTCCCCTCTCCCTGCTTTCCATCAATCCCAGGGGTCGAGCCTTCCCTGGGGAGGTGGAAGGGAACGTCCCTGAGCCCCGCAGTCTCCGTCCATCCAGCAGACTGCCCACACGGCCCCAAACAGTAGCCCCAATGGGGGTGGCCCCGGAGCGTGGGCTCCCTCTCAGGGTGAACAAGCAGGGCTTGGGCCATCTCTCCGGAGCTCTAGAGGGTGGTGCTGGGTGATCCTACCCTTGGGTGTCGGGGCATTGATTTCCTGAGCCTCAGGTAGCTCAGAGGTACTAAGAGTGGCAGAAAGGGCTCATCCTGATGCCACCCACAGAGGCCCTGGACTGGGATGGCTGAGCACAGCACCCTGAGAGGTGGGTGCCAGCCACACACACTGGCTGAGCCAGGCCCTCACTCGCTGTGGTCACTGCACGGCGCGGCCAGCTGTCAGCAAGTAGGATGACCATGCGTCCCACCTAAGAGCCAGGGCCCGGGGCCAGTCCTGCCTCTGAGACTACCACAGACCCAGACGGTTCTGCTGTGCCCATCCCTGGACACTGATCCTTATTCTGAGCTTCTTATGGTTTATGAGAACTTGGGGGCCCAGTCCCCATCGGGGGAGGGGAACAGAGATGATTTCCAGGAAGGGCCCAGAGACTGCACGAAGCCCCCCGGTGAACCAGAGAATATGCAGCCCTATGCTGAGAGCCACACGTGTCCAGGCAGCCTCCAGAGGCTCGGCCAGGCCTTTGGTGTCCTGTGCTGATGATCCTGAGATTAAACTGAAATGCTGAATGAAACCAGGACGTGGAGTGAGAGTCCTTGACCGTGGCCAGGCCCAACTATGTGCGTGGGAGCATGCGTGTGCGTGGGGTCGCCGCAGATGAGGAGAGGCGATCTGGGGCCTTTATCTAGGGAGTGTCCAGGGGACACCAGCAAGAGCGCGAGGAAGACAGGAAAGGACCGAGAAAGTGTTCTTGAACAGGCTGATGTTGTGGGCAAGTGCCCTGCTGAGTTCCGGGTCTTAGGACTGTCCCGCCAAGGGCAAGGGAGCCGGGACACTGGTCCCCCACCTCTGCCTGCCTTAGGGGCCACCAACCCCCTCACGCCCACCCCCAGTACCCCCCAGCTGCCGTGTTTGGGGTGAGCTGAGCCTGCCCCAGGGTCCAGAGGCACTGCCACCGGCAGAAGGCACACCTCCTAGGGCGACGGTGCCCGTGCCGGGGAGGGTGCTCTGCGCGTGGGCGGGCGCGGCTGGCAGTGGGTGTTGGGTGCGGGCCAAGCAAGAGGCAGCTGTTAACCATTTAAGCAACGAGGACGTGAGAGTGAGCTGGAAACCCTCGGTGGCCCGGCACCGTGGAGGATGTTTGGGACACAGGTGCTGTGCTGAAAGAGCCCCCCTGCGTCCCCGGCCAAGGGACTGCACACCGCCCAGGAGGGGTGGAGCTGGGCTGGTGGAGACAGGACTGCAGCCCTCTGTCCACTCAGTGGGGATGGAGGGGACAGGGCCACGGGTGCCCTTGCTGGGCAGCGGGGCGGGGCCTGCCTTCCGTTTGCGTCCCAGGGGTGGAGAGAAGGCAGGCGCTCCCCAGGGCAACCGTCACAGGATGTGGTTTCCTGTGATGGGCCCCCCTGGGCCAGCGGGGGATTCCTAGGGGAGGAGCCACGGCTGCGGTGGGCGGGGCCGGTCTCCCGCGGAGCCGGGGTGAAAGCCTGTTATGTTAGACAAGGGTTCAATGCCAGGCTCCAGCCTGTCCTGGCTGGGTGTCCTCGGGCAAGCCACACAACATCTCTGAGTGTCTCCTTGCTGTACATTTGTCTGTAGGGTGTGCACGGCAGGAGAGCCCCACTCCAGGTGGTGGAGAGGGTCAGAGGTTTGAGAATGAGTGTCCCCTCTCATTGGTAGACCAAGAGGATGAGCGAGAGACCTCCTTAGAAGGAGGAAGGGGAGGGAAAGAGAGACACGCTGAGGTTTGGAGGCGGAGGGACTTGTCCAGGTCACGGAGTTAAGAGCAGAGTCCCAGTTCTGCCCTGTCCCCACCCTCAGAAGGACCTCAAAAACCTTCCGGTCCACTTCTCCCACCTGGCCAGAGCTGCCCGCCTCAGCAGAGACACCCCCAGGCACACAGGGCCAGAGAAGGAGAAACCCTGACACTTGTCCCCTGACACTCCTCTCCCTGGACAGTCTGGGGACACAGGCTGAGGCGGGGTAAGGGAACTGAGGTCCAGAGGGTGACCACAAGGCCTAAGGAAGATGATGAGATAGGAATTTGGGACTAGAGGGACAGACTGAGTCTCAAAGGAAGTGCCCCCAAAGTGTTAAAATCAGGAAACACCAGGGAACCTCTGAAATGCAGAGCACGCCCACAAACCGTGGCCACTCCTGAGCGCAAGCCCTTGGCCCTGACCTTGACCCATGCCCTTAGAACATGAGGGCACCAGGCAAGTGCCGAGAAAACTGGCCAGAAACTATGCAGCTCCGTCCGGGCTCCACTTCCAGTCCACCCTAGCAACTGTCCCTCTGTGAACCTCAACAGCCCCTGCGCGCCCCACTCTGGACCTGGCCTGCTCTCCCTGGGGACCACCTACTTTCCTAAGTGAACCTCGATGCCCTCGGCTGGCTGGGGCTGAAGTCTCCCCTCACATGCGCCAAGAACCAGCTGTTCCAGTCCCCGCCTCTCTGGGAACTCCTCCCGCCCCTCTTTGGAGACACCTCCTCTCCTGGGACAGCGATGGGCGCTGCACCCAGAAAGACCCTTCCCCATCTCCACGACTGCTCCTGAGTGAACCAGCATGTGCCAGGCAGAGCCGGGTCAGGGAAACCCAGATACGTGGTGTCCCGGTGTCCCGGTGTCCCGTAGGCCCTGACTGACACGGGGAGCTGCCAGCTGGCAGGGGAGCTGAGAAGCAGCAGGTGGCTTTCCTGCTCCCTCAGCAGCCCCCAAGGATCAGGATGCCTCAAGGATGTTACGTGAACCTGGCAGGTGGATCCCTGCTGTGGGAATGGACAATATCCCAGCTGTGAGCTCACAGCCCTGCTAGTCCAGGGAGAGAAGGAGGTTCTGGGGAAGCACTGGTCCTGCTCGAGCTGGGGGAAGGCCATCTAGAAAGGGTCACCCTGGGAGGGATGCCTGAGCTGCTCCTGCAGGCTGAAGGGGCAATAGTGACCCAAGCTGAGAGGGAGGCGTTCCAAGCCGGCGGGAGTGATGAGCTCAAGACAGCAAGAGACTGAGGCTGGGGACAGTCGATTCTTATACCAACCCTGTTTTGAAAGCCATAGAACTAAGGCTCAGAGGGGGTAAGTGAAACTCCCAAGGTCACACAGCTCAAGAGTGGCCATTGGGATTTAAATACAGGACATCTAACTTCAGAAGCTGAGCATTGACTTTGCCTCTTCTGGTGGAAACTTGTTCCTGTCCCTGTGGCATTAGAGCCGTGCTGAGGGGCCCAGCCAGAGCCCCAGCCTATCTATTTGGAGACAGCGGCCTATCTGTCTACCAATAGCACAGCCCCGTGGTGCACTCTGGGATGTGGGGCTTGGGGTCACGACCTGGGTACCCATGCAGAGCCAGACTCTGTGCTGAGCCCTGAGGGCACAGAGAGGAATGAAGCCTGGCTCTTACCTTTGGGGAGTTTACAATCTGGAGGGGACTGACAGAGATGGATGACTGCAGTATGTCATCACAGATTGGTGGTGGGGGTGACAGTGAGGTGACAGTGATCAGGTAGGTTGCGTTTACCATGTGCCCAGCAGGCATTATGTCATAAGGGCACTCTGAGAAGGTATCATCTCCTCTCTTTATAAATAAGTCAACTGAGTCCCAGAGAAGTTAAGCAACTAGCCAGAAGCCACACAGCTTGGTGGGAAGCATCACTTTTCTACCTAGTTCAGAAACCCAAATGTGAAACACTGCATGGCATAGTGAGGGTGCATCATGGGCACGTTTAACCCACACGAACTTCAGTGTCTGCTCAGCAGCAAAAAGAAAAGAGCCACGGAGGACACCACTCCTCCCCGTGGAGCCTGCTGCCCTGTCTCTCCTCTCTAATCGCCTGCCGTCCCTCCCTCCCTCTTTTTAAGTGGGAAATACTCCTAAGGGGCTCAAATCTGCAACACCAAGGACCCACGGCAGGATGCTCTCGTCCCCTCCTCCTGCCTACCCTTCCCTTCCCCTGCCCCACCTCACCCCAGTGAATGCATCGGCTGATGCCAACAGACAGGCCTGCCACCTCTGCTGTCCCTCTTTCCTATTAAAAATGGGGTTCTGTCCACACACTCAGGCTCAGAGAACTTCCTCCGGATCCTGAAGAGTAACGTCAACGTGTTCAAGGTCCACCCCACGTGCCGCTCAAGGCCTTAGGACCTCCACAGCAGACGCGGCTCCACCACGTGGCACCGGAGGTTGTGCAGTCAGAGGAGAAGCCGCTGCCTGGGCAGGGTTCGTTGGGGAAGGTGTGACGAAAGGGGGGACACTGGCAGGCCATTGAAGGGTGCGCGGGGTTTGCCGGATGGAGCGTGGAGGACGTTCTCAGGGACTCTCACGTCAACCTAGCAGCATCGTGAGACAGTCCTGACACCTTTCTTCCCACACACATCCCTCCTCCAGCCCGTCACTCCCGAATTGCTGGGGGACATCAATCAAGGACCCTGAGAACTGCAAGGACACCATAAACCATCTTGTGACCACCAGACCCACGCCGACCCCTCGTGCCTTCCGGGACCCTCCCCTCCCCGAGTCTCCTTTCACAGAAGAACTGGAGTGGGCCGGGGGCTTTGGCGCTCAGGTGGCCGCGCTCTCATCCAGCATCTCCGCTTCCCTGGGTGAACCTCTGGCACCCGACTGGCACGTCCTCAAACTCGTCTCCGTGACATTTGTCATGGAACCCACTCATCCCGAGGTCCTCAGTTGAGGTCCCCATCTCAGGAACTGAGTCCTCTGTGACACAGGATGGTGCTCATTGCCCGAGAAAGGGCACGGGAGAGAAGGACCCGGGCACAGGGGAGTGACGAGCAGTTTCTGGGGCAGGGGAATGACCTGGTAGGACAAAGCTCCTGTCATGAAGCAGCGTGAGGGGCAGGAGCCTGAGGAACAGAGGCCAGATTGGAGGTGGCCACGGAGCACAGGTGGCCATGGGGCACAGGTGGCCAGGACTGGGGATGAGATGAGGGACGGGTGAGTGAAGGCTCCCAGGATGCAGATCGCAGACAGATGACTTCCCAGCATGCAGCCTCCAGCCCCAGGGGAGGGGATGGTGGTGACATTAACAGCAGCAGCTGCCATCCCGAGTCCTCGCTCCACGTCAGATGGGGACACAGCATGGACACCAGCCTTGTTGATCCCATCTTACAGCTGAGGAAACGGAGGCTCGGAGGCTCCCCCTTCACCGTGGAGGAAGGACCACAGCTCCCCCGAGGGTGGGACGGGCCCACGGAGCTCTTGCTCTGCCTACTGACTGCATGCCCTGCTGGGCAGCCATGTGCCCTGCCGCAGGCCCCGTGGTTCCCCTGCACCCCCAGACGCCTGGAGAGCCCCTGGAGCTCTAGGGGATGGGGGGAGAGCCCAGGCCCGGGCTCCCCTTCCCCGTCCTGCTGGTACCCATCCCTGTCCCTGGAGACCTCACCTGCGAGGTACACCTGCCGCGCTCCACCCCCTCCCCATCCCCCATCTGTGGTTTCCCCTTCCTCTCAGAGACTCCCTGGACAGCTCTGG